AGGTTGCAGTGAGCCAAGATTGCACCTCTGCACTCCAGCCTGGGTGACAGAGCGAGACTCTGTCTCAAAAAAAAAAAAAAAAAAAAAAAAAAAAAGAGGCAGCTGGTTAGCTGCAAGTGTTCTATATGTGCTTTAGGTGCTGGGCACATGGGTCTACACATATGTAAAAATTCACTGGACTATACAATTCATAGCTGTGCACTCTAGCATATGTAAGTGATACCTCGGTCATTAAAAAACAGTTGAAAATTTTGAGGTTTTTTGAGACAGGTGAGATAACACAGGGAAGCCACGGGTGATTCCAGTGGGGATAGAATTTTGAGGATCACAGCCTCATGGTATTGAAATAGCTTTTAAGTTAGGTCTTAAAATAAAGGTTCTTAACATTTCTTGGGTCCAGGTCACTGTGAATTTGATAAAAAGTATAGTCTTTCTCTTCATGAAAAAAAAAAAAAAACAAAAACACCCATATACACAAAAGCATACCCAACTTGCGTATATGATTTCATGGCCCTATTAATGATTATCTATGACTCTTCTAGAAAATCAGTGGGTCCTAGGCTAAGAACCCTGCTTCAATGGGTAGATTTACAAATGGGAGGGGGAGGAGTGGGATTCACCTATGAAAATCCATGTAGTAAGGGAGAGTGGTAGCACATATGAATACTACAGAGAGAGGCAGAGGATCCTCAATCATCCACTTCTGCAGAATTCCCTGTTGACATCCTAACCTAGGATGTAAGACATCCTAGCTTTCCAGCACTGACTCTACAGGTGAAATTGCTACTTATGCTGAGTAACTATGGCTGTGGGCTACATTTACAAAAGTTTACAGCATGTTTGCTTACAAGAATCAGCTTGTTTTAACTTGAAGTATTTAACAGTGAGCATCTTACTCATCGGGAATATCTTTCTGCAGCCTTGATCATTTTGCTTTCTAATGATTTTTCTCTCAGCCTCTTATGTCTCTGTTGCTAGGGACACTTACTAGGTGGTGTAAACTGCATTAATTGATTAAAATATTCATTGCTGAGTCTATTCCCGTGTGAGAAGTATACGTCCCACACCTTTGACTCCAGACCTGTCAATGTCGCTCACGTTGGCAGATGGAATGCGAGTAGAAATGCTGTCAGCTGCACTGAGGCAGAAGCTTTGTGAGCTCTCATTGGTTCCACCATTGCTCTTTTTCTACTGCCATGAAAGTTGCCTGTCTCACACAGGGGCTGCTCTGGACCCCAGAATGAAGAAGACTGTTGGAGCAGAGCTGCAGCTGGTCCCTACATGTGAGGGAGAAGTAAAACTGTTGGTGAAAGCTCCTATGACTTTGGGATTGTTTGTTACCATAGCAGGACATAGTGAGAGCTGACTAATAGCCCAGGACATTTGGGAAAGTCTCTTGGATGAGTTCAGCAGAAGCTGCTATTGAAATTTTTTCCATATAAAATTCAGTTTATTTAGGATTTCTGAATATCTCAAATGAGGAGTATTTGGGTTATTTTTAATAAAAGAAATGTAAAGACCATAAATCACTGGAATCATGTACCACCACAATTGAGAACAAAATATTTTATTTCTCTCACAAAACTATAGTTTACAGTAGTATTTACTAAATAAATTATATAATTTCTCTTTTACAAGCAATAAACTAGATCACAAATATTTCAAAGACGATGTATGTACACGACATAAGGCCTTTTATAAATAGCTTTGCTTTTCTCATTTCACTAGTAAACAGTGAAAAAATCTTTATAGAAGCTAGTTTTCTATAAAGTAGAGGCAGACCTAGTATATTGATCTTTAAATGAAACCAATTTAAACTTTCAATGACATGAGCTATAATTTTGCAAAAGAATGTATACTTTATTTACCATTTGCATGGATGGATTTTTAAAAATATATAAGCAGATTACATATGTTGCTTATGTATAATCACTGGATGCATGCACAATGAAATAATGCAAAAGTCCATAGGAAAATAGCACTTCCAAGTTCAAAAAGGTGATTGGCAATGGTATAGAAAGCAGCTTAAATATAGTTCATGCAGTTCTTCACAGTTCAGCAAGCAACAGCAAATGATAGAATAGGGTAGTATTTTTCACATCCCATCTGCTGATCAGCCTGAAGTTGACATCTCGAAAACTCTTAAGTCAGGTTGATGATTTCTCTGTGTGTAGTGGGGTTCAGCCAAGTTGCTGTGGATAATTCTGGTGCGGAGAAACTTCTCTGCCGCAACTGTGCTCACGTCTCATCCATGTGCTTAAGGTGGTCACCATTTTCACTTACTGGGGGGAGCAAAAAAGAAAGCAGGTGTGAGACTAGATTTTGGCATCAATTTGTATCCTCTCCCCATGAGTTGTAACATAAGTTCGTTATTTCTCCCAATCACTTGTGTCTGGAAAATGGGGTGCATGATGTTTGGGATTCTTCTGCAGTGATCAGCATAGCATATGCTTCTTTGGTGGACCTGAAACCTGTTAATTACACCAATGTTTATCAAAATTGAGTCCCGACTACATCACAGCGCTGTGCTTGGGACTTGAAAGGAAGCAACACTAAGACACACTCCTGCCCTCCAAGTGTGCAGAGATTAGGGGATGTGCTGTGGTATATTAGACCTGAAGCCAAAAAGAACAACTTGAACGTGGCCTTGAACTTGTAAATGTTTTTTTCCAAACAATATCCCTGTGGCTAGGCGCTAACAATATGTTCAGCAAATATTTTAATGGTAGCTATTTAAAATCAGAGCCAGCTAACTCAACCTGTGACAGTAGAACTATGATATATGTGGGGAAAGCAATATTATATTCAGCCTTTAGAGACAGACACATTGGGTCAAATCATCTGATTTCCTAATTTTTTTTTTTTTTTTTTTTTGAGACGGAGTCTCACTCTGTTCCCCAGGCTGGAATGCAGTGGTGCGATCTTGGCTCACTGCAACCTCTACCTCCTAGGTACATGAGATTCTCCTGCCTCAGCCTCCTGAGTAGCTGGGATTATAGGTGCCTGCCACCACACCCAGCTAATTTTTTGTATTTTTAGAAGAGACAGGGTTTCACTGTGTTAGCCAGGATGGTCTCGAACTCCTGACCTTGTGATCTGCCCACCTCGGCCTCCCAAAGTGCTGGGATTATAGGCGTGAGCACCACGCCCGGCCCGATTTCCTCCTTATTTCATATATAGAATATTATGCAACATCTTCTTGGAACCTTGTTGCTTCATCTGTAAAATGGAGGTAACAAACTCTACTTTATAGGGTGGTGGTGAGGGATAAATTTTTCCATGGGGAAAATGCAGTGTTTTACACACACACACGATGTACACAAATCATATATTTACAATTGAGTACTGTACCTGGCATGTGCTAGTACCCCCAAAATTGTAGTGAAGGTTGGAGCTGGGGGTCACAGAGACTGGTGCAGCTCAGCACCTTTAATTGGAGGCTGAAAAAACTTGAGTAAAAAGTTTGAAATAACTCTGAAAATGATTAGGAAAGAGCACATGTCACATACAGGGAATTCTGTTTCCCAGTTAATATTTTATCTGAGCCTATTGTGCACTGCAGTTTTTATGAACTTACTATTTTGTTTTATACTTTGGCCGCTCCCTCTGATTCACCTAAGCTAGAAAGGTTTGCTTGCCTTGATGCACAGCACGGTCACGCTGTTACTCAAAAATGATCTTTAGGAAGAGGTGAGTGTAAGGTGCTATAAGCTACAGCAGTGGGCAAGTGGGACGTTGCTCACATTCCCAGGACAGCTGTCTTTAAGGTGGACTGGTGGGTTTCATTCAGCCTCAGTCTGATGACTTTGATGTGTGGTGCAGGTCTTTACTCACAAAACCAGTGACACAGAAGATAACCCACATAAAATGATGAGGTCCTACTGATGAGATTTAGAAGTCCTGCCTTCTTAAAAAACAAAGCAAAACAAAAATGAAAAGAGGTGAGAGTTTTGCTTTCCTCATTCTATAGATCACACTGGAGTTCTGTGTCTCACTTCCACTGCCAGACTCTGAGAGGGACAGTGAGTAACCTGAGTGATGCCTGAGGAGATCCACCAGTGAAGGGCCCCGGAGCCAGGACCCCAGGGGAATGGCTAAAGGCCTGGGCTTTTTGGTCTGGAAAACAGGAGAGGTAGAGACAGGGCATAATAGCTGTCTTTGAGTCTCTGAAGACTAGCCTCGGGGAAGAAAGGCTTAGGTATTAGTTTAGTCCCAGTATTGCTGAAAGATGTGACACTGTCACCAGCAATAGTGGCACAGACGCTGTGACCCTGGGGTCAGGACGTGAGTAGAATCTCAGACTGTGTGAAGGGTGTAGAGTTGTAGAGGCGCACCCCCTCCACTGTTTCTTCATTAAGGATCCTGGAATTTACGTCCTCCCCCAGTACATGACATGTGTACACGACACAAGCCTTCCCTAGAGACATGGGCCCAGCATGCCATCTGCTGAGACTCGGTGGTTGAGAATGATCCCAGAAGCCAGAACCAGGACAAATGCATGGAAGCCAGTTTTTTCTCAAGCTGGAAGTGCTTTCTAACCGGAGTTAAAAAACGAGTGGGCTGGGCATGACGGGCCACGTCTATAATCCCAGCACTTCGAGGGGCTGAGGCGGGAGGATCGCTTGAGCCCAGGAGTTCAACAGCAGCCTTGGCAACATACTGAGACCCTGTCTCTACAAAAATAAAAAATAAAATAAAATAGAAAAATTAGCTGGGTGTGGCGGCATGTGCCTGTGGTCCCAGATGCTCAGGAGACTGAGGTGGGAGGATTGCTTAAGCCCAGGAGTCTGAGGCGACCGTGAGCTATGATCACACCACTGCATTCCAGCCTGGGTGATGGAGAGAGACCCTGTCTCTAAAGAAAAAAAAAAAAAAAAAAGAAAAAAGACAAAAGAAAGGAGTGGTCACTAAAGGAGGAGCAGTTGCAGTCACTTAGGGATCAGCCCCAGGAGAGCTGAGGCAGAAACTGTTTATCCTGAACCAGCACCCAGAAGGCACTTGTGGTGGTCAGTTGAGAGGACTTGGGCACTTGTGGGTAGGTTGGGCCAGATGACTATGAAGTTCTGTTTCAACCACAAGATTCTATTAAAAATTGTAAAGGCCAGGTGCGGTGGCTCATGCCTGTAGTCCCAGCACTTTGGGAGGCCGAGGAGGGGCGGATCACCTGAGGTCAGGAGTTCGAGACCAGCCTGAACAACGTGGAGAAACCCTGTCTCTACTAAAAATACAAAATTAGCCGGGTGTGGTGGCGCATGCTTGTAATCCCAGCTACTTGGGAGGGGTATTGCTTGAACCTGAGAGGCGGAGGTTGTGGTGAGCTGAGATTGCACCACTGAACTCCAGCCTGGGCAACAAGAGCAAAACTCTATATCAAAAAAAAAAAAATTGTAAATTTATACCACTGAATAACTCAGAATACTGTAAACAGTTGGTGACTTATGCAGTGAGAACGATCTGAAAGGTACTTAATACTTTGATCTCTCTCATAAAATTGGTTAAATTTATAGTTTAATGAAAAAACACACAGGGTCTTATAATAATAACAGATACTCTCTTCAGTATTAAATATAAAGAATGATTTCCAGCTTTGGTCATAAAATGTCCTTTGCATTCACACAGTAAGTTTAGTTTAGTTTTTTGGTTCTTTTTTTAAACTAAAGATGTCATAGAAGTTTCTATAAGCTCCTGTAAACACTCACTGTCACCCTCAGGGCACAAGAATGTCAAAATTGGGTGGGCATTGCCAACTCTCCACCCATGTTGTAATATAATTCTTGGATGGCATGATCTGGACACATGAAAGTGTCTGTTTTGCATTAATTTATAACCCTATTAAAATGAGATGGAGAGGTATCTGTGGGATCTGAAAGCACAGTGTCTTCTTGCTTGTAAACATGGCCATGGTGAGAAGTATGCAGAAACCATGGTATTATTCCTTCCTTAGCATAAATATGCTATAATTCTCCTTCCTTCAAATTCATAACTCAGGAGTCCTATATTAGCTTTCGCTGCAGAGACACAAACATCAGTTCTCTACCCTGGAAGGAAACTCATAGCTTGAGCTCATTCTTCGAAGTGTGGTACACGCAGAAGTCCCTTCCGCTCCCCAGCACGCAGACGGACTCTTCAGGGCATTACTGCCCAAAAGATGAGCAGCTTCTCCTCAAGGTCAACTGAGATTCAGACCCATCCTGACCGAATGGCTGTAGAAACTGAAATAAGGGCTGGTGCTTTGGCAGAGGAGCTCAAGCAGCTCTCAGAGACTACAGATCCTGGAGTGACATTTCAGCTCTGTTCCCAGCTGAACTTCTGTAACACACACACACACACGCACACACACACACACGCACGCACTTGCCCACAAGGTGCAGCATTTCTGCCTATGCACTGATATACTCTGAGAATTCATGAATTATTTAAAATTCTGATACCTGATAGTAAAAAGTGTGGTAATAGTTGACATAAAAAGTAGAAGTAGAGTATTTCAACCTAAATGCCAGTGTTATTCATCCACACATATGTTGGGGTGTAAGAGAGAGAAAGGTGTATTTTTATTTCTACCTAAAATAAAATGCTTCATTCCATGATTGAGACTACACAATAGTACATACACAAGGGGTCAGAGATTACAGAGCTTTTTAATATTAAAATTAAATACTTTTAAACATTTATTTAAAAAAGTTATTTAAAATTAAATAATTGAACACTAATATAGAGCAATAAGGGAAAACAGCAAATCAAAAGCAATCTGTCCACTAATTAACCCAGAAGCCCTTTCTTTCTAGGTGACTGACTGCACTGGGAAGTCAGATCCCCTGGAGGGGAGCCCAGGCAGGAAATACTCCCAGGTGGGCCTCCCAACTCGGATGGCCTTGCTTTACTTTTCAGAGCCACAGGAAAGGCATGAGAAGGTGAGGAGTTTCTTTTCCAAGAAACTTTTCCTAGACTCATTCCCTCCACTCCTGCTTGCCTTTTCTCAAGCCTTCCCTTGACACCCTTGCCCCCATCAACCGACTGGCTTACAAACATATTTAGAATTTCTGAACATCTGGGATGTGGCGTGAGGGAGTTTTAGGGCAGTGCTGAGAGAGGCGGAACTTCACCACAGTTAGGTTGGCCAAGATGAACAGCACTGACAAGTCCCGTGAGGTCTCCATGATCCCTGAGCGGTGAACCCTTGGGGTGATATCCCTTTTTTAAACTCTAATTACCTCAGGTTTCAGTCCCAAGGCCTTAATAAAGCAAGAGCTTTCTCTGGTGTCCAGGAAATCCTCATTTTGGT